GGGATGGAGTCGCCCACTGGGCTTCCTGATCAGCGGGGAGTCTGCTTCTTCCTCTCCCTTTGCCTGTTGCTCCCCCTGCTTGTGCATGCTCTCTCTCTCTCTCTTTCTCTCTCTGTCAAATAAATAAAATCTTTAAAAAAAAAAAAAAAAAGAAAAGGCTAGAATTTCTTGGCTAGTTTAAGGAACTTACCAGTGTTTCTTTTGTAGGAAGATTTTCGACTACAGATTAAATTATTTTAATTGGTAAAGTATTTATGCTTTCTGTATCATCTTTGTCTAAAATTCAGTGTTATTGGCACAAAGCTTGGTCATAATGTTCCTATAAAACCTTTTTTTAAATTTTTTATTTAAATTTTACTTAGTTAACATACAGTGCAATATTAATTTCTGGAGTAGAATTCAGGGATTCATCACTTACATACAATCCCCAGTGCTCATCACAAGTGCCCTCCTTCATGCCCAGCCCCGATCTAGCCCATCTGCCCCCACCTCTCTCTCCATCAACTCTCTGTTCTCTTTCGTTAACAGTCTCTTACTGTTTATTTTCCTCTATCCTTTCCTCCCACTCTTTCCAATATGTTCATCTGTTTTCCTTCTTAAATTCCACATGAGTGAAGTCATATAGTATTTGTATTCCTCTTATTTCGCTGAGCATAATACACTTTAGCTCCATTCATGTTGTTGCAAATGGCAAGATCTCATTCTTTTTTCATGGCTAATATTCCTCTGTGTGTGTGTGTGTGTGTGTGTGTGTGTGTGTGTATACCACATCTTCTTTATCCATTCATTGGTTGAACATTTGGGCTCTCTCCATAGTTTGGCTCTTGTTGACAATGCTGCTATAAACATCGGGGTACATGTACCTTTTTGAATCTGTATTTTTTTATCCCTTGGGTAAATACCTAGTAGTGCAATTGCTGGGTCATAGAGTAGTTCTATTTTTAACTTTTTGAGGAACCTCCAAAACTTCTCCAGAGTGGCTTCACCAATTTGGATTCCCACCAACAGTACAAGAGGGTTCCCCTTTCTCCACATCCTCGCCAACACCTGCTGGCTCTTGTGTTGTTATTTTTAGCCATTCTGACAGGTGTGAGGTGGTATCTCATCATGGTTTTGATTTCTATTTCCCTGATGATGAGTGATGTTGAGCATCTCTTCATGTGTGTGTTGGCCATCTGGATGTCTTCTTTGGAAAAGTGTCTATTCATGTCTTCTGCCCATTACTTAACTGGATTATTTGTTTTTTGGGTGATGTGTTTGATCAGTTCTTTATGGATTTTGGATGCTAACCCTTTGTCCCATATATCTTCTCCCATTCCATAGGCTGCCTTCTAGTTTTGTTAATTGTTTCCCCATAACACCTTTTAAATATATACATCTAGAATGATGTTCCTATCTTCGTTCCTGATACTGTTGTTTGTGCCTTCTTTTTTTTTTTTCTTGCTCAAGCTTGCAAGGGACTTATCAATTCTTTCAGTCTTTTTGAAGAACCAGCTCTCACCTTTTATTAATCCTATTGAACATTTCGTTTTCCATTACTTTCTGTCTTTATCTTATTTCCTTTCTTCTGCTTTGATTTTGGTATTTTCCCCCCAATTCTCTTGAGTTGGTTGCTTAGCTATTTACTTTCTAAGAAAGCCTTTCTTCTTTTTCCATCATGGCATTTTAAAACTAGAAGCTTCGGGGCACCTGGGTGGCTCAGTGGGTTAGGCCTCTGCCTTCGGCTCAGGTCATGATCTCAGGGTCCTGGGATCAAGCCCCGCATCGGGCTCTCTGCTCAGTGGGGAGCCTGCTTCCCCCGTCTCTCTGCCTATCTCTCTGCCTACTAGTGATCTCTCTCTCTCTGTCAAAAAAATAAAATCTTAAAAACAAAAACAAACAAGGGGCGCCTGGGTGGCTCAGTGGGTTGGGCCGCTGCCTTTGGCTCGGGTCATGATCTCAGGGTCATGGGATCGAGCCCCACATCGGGCGCTCTGCTCGGCAGGGAGCCTGCTTCCCTCTCTCTCTCTGCCTTCCTCTCTGTCTACTTGTGATCTCTGTCTGTCAAATAAATAAATAAAATCTTTAAAAAAAAAAAACAAACAAACAAACAAAAAAAACTAGGAGCTTCCCCGCATCCCTAAGGATCGGTGGTGATGGCCAGCATTTAGAGGTCGCTGCCTGAAGTCCCTCTTTACAGTTGTGCTCTGACTGCTGTGGCTCTTTAGCACCAACATGCCACTAGCCCCTTCCTGCAGCCCAGCTGTTCTTTACATGTGATTGTGCCTGAGGGTGGGAGCCTCGCTTAGTGCAGGTGTCCAGTTAGGGCCCAGATGCGACCAAAAGAACAGAAGCCACCGCCTGTTGCAGAGGCTGGTGGGATGCTAGTGTACATCTCACCCTGTCTCTGGGTGTTCTCTAGACCATATGTGCTGGCAGGGGAGCCTCTGGTGAGCTGCCCCCTTCAGAGTTTCTCTTATTATAGCCTTACACATTTTTAAAAAGGTTTTGTTAATTAGTGAGAGAGAGAGCGCACGAGAACAGGGGTGAGGGGCAGAGAGAGCTAAGCAGACTCCCTGCTGAGCAGGGACTCAATCCTGGAACTTGATCCCGGGACTCCAGGATCATGACCTGAGCCAAACACAGACACTTAACCCACTAAGCTACCCAGGCGCACCCCCCTCTATAGACTATTTTCATCATTCATGGTTTTATTTTAAATTTTTCTTCTTAAGTTGTTTGTAAACTATGATAATCCTTTCTGGTGATATATTAGCAAATTACTAAAATTAAAAGCATCAGAAATGGTTTTTTTACCTAAGCAAGCCTCATTAGTCCACGTGGTCTTGCTAATAATTCTTTCCCATCTCCTCTCAGTTTTGAATCCACCAGCTATTCCCCCACCTCCTATGGCAAAGTTATTTATCTTTTGAGCATCTGAGGGAACTCATCTGTAAAACGGGATAGCAGTAGTACCAACTTTATTGACTTCTCAGGTGATTGATTATGTGAAGCAGTGTACATGCAGTGCTCTCCAGAGTGCCTGCTGGGAGTGAGCACACAGCACCGTTAGCAGATTCTGTTTTATTTGGGCTCCCTGTTCATCAAACTCATTCTTTCCATCCTGTAGAAATGCCCGAGTCACTCACATTCCTGCACTCGCTCTGTTTTTACTCCAGCAACCAGCTTATTCCTTTCACAGGCAGGCATATGCAAAGTGTGGGCTCGCAAGGTGGACTGGCAGAAGCCAGACACAAAAGGCAATGTATGATTCCATTTATATGAAGTTAAGGAACAGCCTTCCTTTCCTTAACAGAAGTTAAGGAAAATTGCAAGGACAGAAGTCAGAAACAGTTACCTAATAGTGAAGTCATGGTGGTTTTGACTGCAAAACACTCTGTAGGGTGGAGGCCAGAAAGATTTTCTGTTTTGACCGAGGGGGTGGTCACACAGGTACATACATGTGTGAAAGTTCATCGGGCTGCAGCCTTGAAAAATGAGCACATCCATCCTAACAAACAAAAAGAGCTCAGGTACCACCCTTCACCACCTGTCCCTTCTTTGGTTTATGGCTACCACTCATTCCACTCTCGTCTTGGTCACCGGAATGTTTCCACACATGTGAATCATTACTACTCTTGACCTCCTCCCAGTAGCACTGAACACTGGGAATCGCATCTTCCTTTATGAAACTCTTCTTGGACCTAGAAACCACTCTTCCTGCTGGTGATCCTACCTCTGGCTCCCCCTTAGTTTCCTTCAGCAGCTCGTGTCAGGGAGTTAATTTGTGTAATTCTACAATTTCATGCTGATTTGGCCTGTTGGGTACAGGGTACCTACCCGACACAACAGCGCAGAAACCCACGACCACCCCTTACAGAGCTGTGGCTTCTACTCACATGGAGCGATGATTGTTATGTAGTGAACTGGGACTAGACTCACTCAGGAGTGGCGGCCTCCGCCTTAGGGTGTACACTTGGAGTTGTCTGCGGTCATCAAAGTTGAAGTCTTATGAAAATTCACAAGTGTAGATTCTTCTGAAGACATAAGACCCACATGGAATGAACACAGGATTAGTATTGAATTACCCAGCGTAGATGACTGTTGCTCCAGATGCTGTGAGAGAGAGGTCGGAGACGGAAATGGGCTTCCGTCTGCTTCCTGAGCTCTCGCCTCATTGCAGCCTTTGCTCAGGTTTTACCATCTTGATGAAACTCCGCTGTATACTGTAGCCATCTCCTCCCCCAGCCCTCCAGACCCCACATTGCCTGCTCTGCTTTCTCCCCTGAGTACTTAATTGCCTCCAACACAACAGTATCATTTGCTGATTCACCATGTTGATTGTTTATAGTTTGTTTGCCCTTTCAGACTGTGATTTCTACAAGGGTAGGGATATTTGTTTTGTCCACAGATGCATCTCACATGCCTAGAACAGTGCCTTGGCACATAGTAAGTACTTAATTACTTGTTGAAATACCTGAAGGACTGGTTCAGCCAAGTGGTTTAAAATCCAAGCAAGCAAAAGAAAAGCCTGAGACTCGCAAGAGTGACATCAAAGTCCCTCCCTCACCAGGGCAGGGCTTTCTCCAGATCCAGGCTGTCCTCCCGAGGGCTGCACTTGATGGTCCGGATTATCCCTGGGCCCCAAGCTCAGGGGTAGCCAGGAGTCACCTTGATATTTTCTGTAGCAGTCTTGCCTCCTGGTCCCCCTGCGCCCCCTCCCCTGGTCACAGGTTTCAATTGCAGACTGACCTGAGCAGCAGCAGGAGTGATGTGTGTGCCACCTGGGCATGCTCATGGGGAGAAATGTGACTATTCCATGTTAGGAAGTAAGAGACGTGCGTCAGTCATAGTTGGAATGACAGTCCCGGTGACCAGGATCCTCTGGTTTTGTGCTGAATTTGTCAGCCCTTGGTTAATTTGTAGAGCTGGCAAATAAATACAAATCAGGGCAACGAGAAAATGATGTGTCCCTCGCCGATACATATGTATATCTCTAATGACCTTCTGTCCCTTTCTAGGGCGAAAAGGCTGATAGCTTCTACATTATAGAGTCTGGGGAGGTGAGCATCCTGATCAGAAGCAAGGTGAGTCTGTGTGTGACGGTGCAAGTTCTGCCAGGTGCGTGCCCAGAAAGTAGCTGCTGGCTTTAAATGTGAAGTGTGTCTAGTGTAACAAACTATCATTCTGTGAGGTATGTGACTGGCCAAGACCCACGTGTAAGAACCTCCAGTGGTGGGGACTTGGTGCATTTCTGCTTGTTCCTATTGCCTTTGCCTCTGTGGCATCGTTTACATGAGAAATACTGGCCTACAAATCAGTAAGAAAAAGATAAACCCCATAGTCGAAAGTGGGGGAATTATATGATAAAGGCATACACGTGGGTGTTGAATATGAAAAAAGCTTTCTTTCTAGAGCACTGGGGAGGAGGTTTGTAGGACCAGTATTACTATGCCATTTCGTGGGTAGGTGAGGCCTGGAAAACTGATGGGCGGTAGGTGGGAGGAGTGGTCTTCATCATAAATCCATTGTCACCAGATTTCCCTATTCCAATTTTTTTTTAAGAATGTAGAATTTGTTAAAATAGTTAAATATAATTCTAACCTAATATGAAACCTTTTAAAGAATATCTTTAGTAAAAGTTAAATATGGAGAAAGAAAAACATGATTACCGCCTCTGTTAAAAATAGATTTAAAAATATTAAATCTCGGGCGCCTGGGTGGCTCAGTGGGTTAAGCCGCTGCCTTCGGCTCAGGTCATGATCTCAGGGTCCTGGGATCGAGTCCCGCATCAGGCTCTCTGCTCAGCAGGGAGCCTGCTTCCCTCTCTCTTTTTCTCTGCCTGCATCTCTGTCTACTTGTGATCTCTCCCTGTCAAGTAAATAAATAAAATCTTAAAAAAAAAAATTTAAAAATATTAAATCTCTATTAAAAATAGATCTGTTTCACATGAAACAATAGATTGAAACATCTATGGTGTTTTACTGATTGTTTTTGGACTAGTGATAGATGTTCGTACATTTCTCAAATACTCATTGGCACCTTCTGATCACCTTCTGATTAGTATTGGGTATGTGGGACCAGCAGCACTGTGCCCTGGGGTTTGGGGGAGCTCCTTAGGAATCCAGAGGCTTGACCTCTGCCCTAGACCCACTGAGTGAGAATCTGCATTGTAACAAATCCCCCAGGGGGCTGGCGTTCATGTGACCCGTGTGGTAACTGCTACTCTAAAGAAGGGACTAGGTGGGCACAAACTGCCTTCCTAGAGAATGCTACAGGAATTGGAAGGAGAGTGTTGGCTCTGATGGAGCAGGTCAGCTTCGGAGCAAACAGGTTGGGACAGAAGTGTAAAGGGAATTATCTGCATGTAACCCAAAGTGACTCTTACAGATTGAGACTAATTCTTACCAGTAAATTCTCAATAATTCTTTCCTGAGATTATTGCTTAGCTTAGCAGATGGATTTGTTAAAAAAAAAAAAAAGGAAACATTAGATATTACATAAAATATGCCACATTATTTTCTCTTATTTGATAAGCACAAATTATAACCTGCTTGATTTCTTTTTTTTTTTTTTAAGATTTCATTTATGTGAGAGAGAGAGAGCACAAGTGGAGGGGTGTAGGGAAAGAGAGAAGCAGACTACCCATTGAGCAGGGAGCCTGATGTGGGGCTCCATCCCAGGACCCCAGGATCATGACTTGAGCTGAAGGACGCTTAACCAACTGAGCCAGCCAGGCACCCCCCTTGCTTGATTTCTTAATACAGAGTTAAACCACTAAATATCCAGGTTGAACATTATAAAGAAATTTTTTTTTTTAGTCACTCGGCTCTTCTAAAAACATGTGTGCAGTGTTGGAGGGAACCATTAACTTAAGAAGCATATAGTACCTAAAAAGATTTGTCACTGTATTGTTCAAGAAAGGCATGGTATCAAATTAAGAAGAAGTAACCCAGGATTGTGACTTTACCTAAGAGAAACGTTGACATCATTCAGCAGGAATTAGCAAAAGTAGAAGTAGAAGTCAGCATCTACCAAAAGGACAGCATTCATATATATATATAGATAGATATAGATATAGATACAGATACAGATATATAGATATAATAAATGTATAATATATAAAAATTTATATGTATTTTATGTTAATATATAATTGACACTATAGTATGATCATATGTATCAACATAATATATATATGTTATAATACATACTTATTTTTTTCCTTTGGAAGATATATATAAAACCTTCCAAAGAAAATGGTCTGCTCCCTACCTCTCGATATTTAGCCGTTACCTGAACAGTGTTGGGACTTGGATGAAGCCCTAGGTAAAAGCCAACTCCTCTAATTAAACCAGAGTGCTGAGATGAATTAGCCCGTGCAGTGTATATGGTACAGTTAGTGTCTCCGCAAAGTGAATTTCTCAATAATTGTGTTTTAAGTGTCCTGAGAAGGGAATGGAAGTGCGTGTAACTGGACGTGCTCAGCTGTGATTCTGGAATCAGCCTAGGTCATGTCTTCCATCTGCTCTAGACTAAAGCCAACAAGGATGGCGGGAACCAGGAGGTTGAGATTGCCCGTTGCCACAAGGGGCAGTACTTTGGAGAGCTTGCGCTGGTCACCAACAAACCCAGAGCTGCTTCGGCTTACGCAGTGGGAGATGTCAAATGCTTAGGTAAGAAAAATAAATTCTTCATGCACGAATACTTTTTTTCCCAACATGCGGTATTTTTTTTTCCCTCAGAAAGCCTCGACTCATTTCACCAGTTCTCACACACATCGAGGCTTGAACGGTCTGTGGGACCAGATAGAAATGGGCGGATGTACCCCTTGAGCAAACACTGCTGAGCACTGAGTGAGGGTAGCCTGTGATGGGCAGTCTCGGAGGCAGGTGTCCGGGGCTCCATCGGGACAGAGTGAATGGGTGCTGCCGGGCTCTGCAAAGTCGCAGACAGAGGACAGAGTCCGACTGCCTTCACAGAGACACACCCATCCTTCCCCAGCGCCCAGCCTCCCCCAGTCTGGTTCCCTAAGGTGAACCGGTATATGTGAGAAAAGGTTTGGGTGAGGGAAGTGACTTTGAATTATTGGTGTAGAGAATTCATTCTCTCTCGCGCCTCTTTTTAACAACACAGTGATGGATGTACAAGCATTTGAGAGGCTTCTGGGGCCCTGCATGGACATCATGAAGAGGAACATCTCCCACTACGAGGAACAGCTGGTGAAGATGTTTGGCTCCAGCCTGGATCTGATTGACCCCGGGCAGTAGGTGTGCCACACCCCAGAGCCTTCTCAGTGTGACACCAAAACCTTCCGGTCAGCCACAGAACACACACGCAAGACAGACACGACAGAACCGTTCCTGCTGTTGCCCCCGCCGCTGCCATTGCTATGGCCATGGGCATTTAGAAAACTTGAAAGTCAGCACTAAAAGATGGGCAGAGGTTCAACCCACACCTCCTCCACTTTGCTTCTGAAAGCCCATTATTAGACCACTCGTAACGATTATTCCAACCCAGCTGTCACATCTTTGGTTCAAAATGGCATGTCTCTCCAACAGTTTAAGTGCCTGATACCAAGTCCACAGCGTCATCATGTTCCTTTCCTCTCTGGCTGCTACTGTTGCTGTTGAACGTCATCCCAGGTCTGCACAGACCCGTGTTTAACTGTAGACACCCGCCCCTGACCTTTCTCGAGGGAGGAAATGTTGTAGCCCTTGATCTTCTTGTTTGTCCTTTGAGAAAGTCCGCATTTGTTCACACTCATAGCCTTTGGTTTTACAGTAGAAGATGGCGGCAGGTAGTATGAGGTCTGTGGGCCTGAGGCCCTGTACTGTCACCTGACAGCTGCGCCCATGACAGCTGTCTCCAAACTCCCAGCGATGCTGAGGGAAAGGCCCTACCCTGGGGCCTAGCGGGTCAGCACCCCAGAGCACACTGATTGGTCGTGAGGACCCGTGTTAAAGCAGAAAATCTGGGTTCCACACATTCTTCAGGTAGCAGAGAGCCAGGGAAGGTTTTCTGGGTTGGGGGTTTTGGTTTGTTCTATTTTGATTTAGTAGATTTTATTTTGTTTTATTTAATCTCTGTGCGGTTTGCCTGAGTGAACTACTGTCCATTTCTGAGAAGCCAGAGTCTGGATGTGCCATCACTTTATCTGACCCAAATACTTCCCTGGGCAACTCCTGCCATCTCGTTTCCAGTTGCCCCACCAGCCGATAATGGCAGTTTGCCAGCAAGAGGTCGTACTACAAAGAGAGCCCTTTCCTTCTACTCCAATGTCGTTACCTAGCTTTGCTGTTGAACTATCAATTTTTAAACTCTTTAAAGAAGCAGCTGTTTTTTTGAAATTAAAAAAAAATGTTATTTCTATATGTAGGGAATTACTGTTGGACCTATTCTTATGCTTCAGTGTGTCAGCTGACTGGGGCATTCATCCTGAAGATCAATTCTTTGTTTTTAAAAATCGGAATCCTTCACCATTTCATAGAATTACTGCAAAGAGCTAGTTCTAATTAAGGTGCTGGGATATTTGGGGTCCCAGTTATGAACCCCAGAGGAAAGTAAATTAGCTTGTATTTTAAAACTTTTTAACCTTTTAATTATATCAAGCAGAATTCTGATTAATTATCCAAACTAGATCTATTTCAGGATGAATGACTTAGAACCAGATGCTACCAGAGATCCTAAGAACGGTATGAAGTTTACATAGAGATAAATTTGAATATTATAGCCAGGTTTATATTAAAGCAAGAGGCCCTTTCCAGTGTGATTTACTTTTTAAACTTGCATAACTCAGTAAATCCCTGAGAGACCGAATGCTGGGGCTTGAGTCATTCCTGTTGTAGGATAATGATGGAGCCACGTGGTCACTTCCATTCTCCACGGAAGCCAGGCTCTCTGCTTTTTGCCATGGACTGTGCAGTGGAGAGATTTCCAGAGTGGCGACTCACCACAACCTTGGTCAAGTCTCCCTTTTTCTTGTGTTCTGTGAAGTGAAAGCAGGAGACTGCCCTAGCGAGGTAACCTGCATTGCAGCTCGCAGCAGCATGAAAGGTTGTAACTAATACTCCAAAACAGGCAGCTAGCGCTGGGAAAGCCCATGTGGTTTTCTTCCCACGATTTTCCAAGGTGGTTCTTTCTAGGGTGTTGCTTTATTATCAAATCAATTCAGAAAGCAGATCCTGTACTTTAGCAGACAAGAATCACACCTGTTTCGTCCAAAAGTAGCAAGTACATGGAGCTTTAGGGGTGTCACAGAGGCCTAGCCCCACACTGTGCAAGGACTCTGTTTAAACACCGAGCAGATGCTCCCTTGTACCCCCCCTGCCAGCATTAGTCAGGGCCGGCTGGGCGCCTAGTGTCCTGAGTCACTCCTCCAGGCTGTTAGGCATGGGCCTTCTCATGCGGCCTTCTTGCACATCCCAGTTCAGTCTTCCCCCTCACAGAAGCCTCTTTGATAGCCCCAACTCACTGATGGTCGCTGTTTTACAGAGTAGAAGTCATCCAGGTTTAAGCCCTCCAGCTCTAACTACAGACTGATGTAGGGATCATGAGTCCAGACCCTCACTGCATACAGGGCCCCCTGGGGGTCTGGCTTGAGGAAGGAAGACTTTAAAGGGACCAGCGTGAGTGAAATAGTGCCAGGAGTCTGACAGTGTTCCGGTTCTCTTCGCAGCGTGGGGAATCTGAGGTGGCAGAATCTCTGGTGTCCACATTATGCCCGGCAATCCCTGCACTGTTGGTTGGGCCTCGAGCGGAGGTGTGTGTTGGGAAGAGATCCCTTTTATGTTGTTCTCTTCCGTGGGTTAGAGCTTCACGCCCTCTTTCCTGGCTTTGCTGTGGATTTGGGGTGGTGGTGAATATTCCTTGAGCCTTGACGCCCAACCTATAGTATTATCCTTATTTCTAGGCCCAGTTTATCATGGCCACCCTCTTCTTTTGGTCGTAGTCTCTGAAGAAAGGCATCATGTGTGCTGTCCTCTTAGCTGATAGTCTCACATATAATTGCAATAGGTTCTCAGAAGTCAGAGTGCAGCTTTTCTTTGAGCAGTTTAATGAGTGAATTCAGCAGCAAAGTGGCAAGAAGTGGTTCTCCGGCCCGGAGAGGTCATGTTCGTCCTCTTAATGCCCAGATTCTCTGCTCACAATGGTAGTCAGTGAGAGGTGCCACTGGTGCCCAGCGGCCCCCTGGGCACACAGCATTTCCATGTCAAGTCGCAGTGTACAAACAGCCTTCTCTCATTTAGAAAAAGTGAAAGAGCATTTTTGCAGAGAAAAAGGAAAAAGACCCGTGAATGTCATCTTTTATCTTTTGTTTTCGGTTGGCTGATGTCGGGATTTTTGTTCTTGACATACACTTGTAAACCAGTCTTGCCAAGATGCAAGTTGTTTTCGTTTTTCACTACAATTACCTCTTGTTCCTCCTGTCCTGACTGCTGACGTTCCTCGATGATTCTAATGTCTATTTTATGGGAAGCAGCCTTCCCCTGTGGGTTTCCTTTTACACACTGCAGGGCTATCTTTATACTTTAAAAAAGAAAAAAGAAAAAAAAATCTGTCACTAACCTCATGGGGGATTTGCAGAAAACCATTTAGCCCACCTCAAGCAAAAGGTAGATTTCCTCATTTTTTTCTTAAGCTCATTGTAATAAAGGAGATCTAATTCAGCATTATTGTGCTACCTCAAAGGTAAAATGTTTTAAGGTCTTTTTTTGGTCCTGAGTTCTACACATTGTGTTTGAAACGTCTCTCAATTGCAATTGTTTTTAAATCATTGGGGAGAATCTTATTTTAACCGTTTTACACTTGTATTTTAATCTCAGAAGAATAAGTGATTAGAAAGTGATCAAGTCTTGCTCTGTAGTATTGAACATATAATTAAATCATTGTTTGCCATAAACAAGGTTGGGTTTTTTAAAAGGAAACTCTAGGGCTCGGCTTTGCTCTTGGTTAATAAAGGCTGACAAATCATGTCTGACTTTTTGGTGTGGCCCTGTGTTGTTTGTCCTCTCATTTTAGGGTTCCAGGCCATCATAGTACTCATCTGGCAGATACATTGCTGGGACTGGGATGTGAGCTCTTGAAAATTAGATAGGAGGCCTGGACATGTGTGTTAGGGTTCTCCAATAAGAACCAATAAGGAGTGTGTCTCTCTGTGTGTGTGTGTGTGTGTGTGTGTGTGTGTGTGTGTTTGTAAAGAGATTTATTGTAAGAAATTGGCTTATGCAGTTATGGAGCAGGCAGGTCTCGTGATCTGCAGGAGGAGTTGGCAAACTGTAGACCAAGGACAGCTGATAATTTCATTCCAGTCTAAATGTGAAAGGTTGAGAACCGTAAGAGCTGATAGAGTAGTTCCTTTTAGAAAGTTAGCAGACCGGAAACCCAAGAAGAACCAATGCCTCAGTTTGAAGGCAGGCAGGAAAATTCTCTTACTCGAGAAAGAGTCCTTTTGTTATGGTTGGACCTTCAACTGATTAGATGAGCCTCATCCACACTGGAGAGGGCGATGTGCTTTACTCAGCCTACTGATTTAAATGTTGAGCTCATCCCAGAACACCCTTACAGAAACTCCCAGAACAATGGCTGACCAAATACCCCTGCCCCATGGCCCAGTCAAGTTGACACATAAAATTAACTATCCTAGGGGCACTCAGTCAGGTAAGCTTCTGACTCTTGATCTCAGCTCAGATCTTGATCTCAGGGTCATGAGACTGGGCATGAAGTCTACTTAAAAATAAAAAAATTTAGGGGCGCCTGGGTGGCTCAGTTGGTTAACCATATGACACTTGATTTTTGGCTCAGTTCATGATCTCAGGGTCATGAGATTGAGTCCCACATTGGGCTCCACACTGGGTGTGGCTTGGGATTCTCTCTCTCTTCCATTCTACCCTACCCCCACTCAATGCTGTCTCTCTAAAATAAATAAAATCTTTAAAAACGAACTTAAAAATTTAAATTTTTAAAAAATTAACTATACCAGCATGGTATTTGAGTTGTCGGGTCTGCTGTGGAAGGGCGTCAAGTCTGTCCCTTGCCAGGGTAGATAAACTCCCCAGTGAAGCCCAGCAGACAGCATCTCTGTCTGACAAGATTACTTCTATCATTTCCTTCTCGGTAGCATGGCTGTCACGAGGAGCAATGACTCTGTGATAACCTAGTGTACCTAACGTTTTTTTCCAAGTGACCAAGAGAAGCTGTTTGGCAAAATCATGTTCCCGTTTAATCTTGCTTAACCTGGTAGTACAAAAGGGTCAAGTAGGGGGTGAACATTCGAGATAGCCCACGGAGCTCAAGAAACTGGTAGCTGAGCTGTCTCAAAGCCAAACGGGCCTTATTTCGAGGCTTTAAAAATTAAATATGGCTTGGCTTTTGTAGTTTTAGTGGTGGTATCACTATGAACAGTTAAGAAGTGCCAGGACAACAATATCATGTCCACAGTCTCAGCCTCAAAGAGTTCATGTGACATGAGGACTTTGCCTTCTTGTATGTTCTGTACTTATCCTTAGTGATCTTAGTGCATCTATTTTATAACAACAGAATTAAACCAGTTTATTTACACTGTGATTAAGGAATCTGTGTTTGTTTCACAAGGCCTCGTGTTAAGTATGAATTTTGCTTCCTTTACCCATACCCATCCTCTCTGTGGACAAATGCCCCATCACAGATGATGGCATGGATACTGTTACCTCACTACTTGGGGATATGCAGATAAAATGCAGGGTGTAGACCAGGAACTTACTGAGCAATGACTTGTGAATTTAGATGAGTATTATCCAATTTCTGAATTAGAATGTCAGAAATTAGGTCTGACTCAGCTTATTCATGCACTGAATAAATTTTTTTTTTAAGGATTTTATTTGAGAGAGTGAGAGCAAGCACGGGTAGGGGGAGGGAGGGGCAGAGGGAGAAGCAGACTCTCCGCTGAGCAGGGAGCCCTACATGGAGCTTGATCCTGGGACTCCAGGATCATTACCTCGGATGAAGGCAGATGCTTAACTGACTGAGCCACCCAGGCGCCCCTCATGGAGCAAATTTTGATGACCTGCTATGGACATTCCTGACACTGTGGTTTTTTGTTTTGTTTTGTTTTAAAATTTTTATTTCTTTGAGATATGGAGAACAGGAGCCAGGGGGTAGAGGGTTGAGAAGAAGCAGGCTCCCCACTGAGCAAGGAGCCCAACGCAGGGCTCCATCCCAGTACCCTGGGATCATGACCTGAGCCAAAGGCAAACGCTTAACCAGCTGAGCCACCCAGGCACACCATGACACTGTTTAAACCACAGGAATTATCAGGAATGATACTGAGGTCCACCAGGGCATTCTGGACCTTTCTTCCATTAATGATGAAGCTTAT